ACTTAACAGATATGGTTGCCTGTGGGAGGGGGCAGGGGAGTGAAAAGCATGTGTGCTAGGGAGGAGTGTGGGCAGTTGAGCCTAGGGATGCCCTAAGGGTAATCATCCTTACTCCATGTGGACTTGGGCCTGAACATTCCCAGTACCTTCTATGTGACTGGGGGCAAATTCAGTTGCTGAAGGCTATTTTCTGCCCTAGCACCTGTTACCTCCTGGAATAGGGGCTGGTTTTCTCTCTCAGTGTTCAAGGTATAGTCTTCATCCTGTTATAGCCCTGTGGCCATCTCCCCTTTACTGTTACTCACTTTGTGAAAAAGACTGGCCAGAGAGGTGACAGAAAAAGTGAATGAGGTTAACTGATCCAAAGGTTCCCAGGAGGCTACTTGAGTAGGGCCTGGGGTATGGGAAGGGTGGGGCTACTGCTACTGCAAGCCAGGATCCTTGCAGAATGAGGGCTGGAGGTCAGGTTGTCAGAGGACACTACCTCCTTTCCATCCACAATTTTATCTTCTCATTTAGGGTTCTGGGGAAGAATATTGGGAGAGTTGAGAGTTGGGGATGAGTGGGTAGGATTAAAAAGGTCAGGGAAAGCACCCAGGGAAAGGGGATCTTTGACAAAGAAGGAGGTGAGGCAGAGTGCCATGGAGATAGCTGCAGAACTGGAAGAGTCAGTGTGAGCTAGGTGTGGTGGTGCACACCCTTAATCCCAGGACTTGGGAGGCAGAGGCAGGCAGATAGATCTGTGAGATTCAGCCCAGCCTGGTTTACATAGCGAGTTCCAGGTCAGCGGGGGCTAAAGGGAGACCCTGTGTCAAAAACCGAACAAATAGGGCTGGAGAGATGGCTCAGTGGTTAAGACAACTGCCTGCTCTTGCAGAAGACCTGGGTTCCGTTCCCAGCATCCACATGGTGAGTAACAACAATCCATATATCCAGTTTCAGAGGGTTGTGATTCCCTCTTCTGGCCTCTGCAGGCATTGCATGACACGAGTACACTTACATACATGCAGGCAAAACATTCATGAATAAATAAATAAATAAATAAATAAATAAATAAATAAATAATAAATAGGTTAAAAAAACTCAAGCAACAAACCAAAAAGTCAGTGCGAAGGCCCTGAAGTGAGTGTACCAGATTTGTTCGGGGTTGACAAGGAGTCTGGTGTGGCTGGAATGGCATGAGTGAAAGGACTAGTGAGGTTATGCAGGACCTTTCTTAGGGCATGGTGAGGGTTTGGCTTTTACTCTTGAGTGGGGAGGAAACCATGGGAGTGTTGGGGGCAGCAGAGGAGAGACATAACCTGTCAAACTTAGGAGAATTCCTTGAACTGCTGAGTGTGGTCTGGCATGTAGGAGCGTGGGAAGAAGAAGGGGACCAGTGAGGAAGAGGCTACTGCTGTAGTCCAGGTAACCAGTGTTAGTGCTGGTTCTGGTAGTGGAGGTGGTAGTGAGATGATGAGTTTAGGATTTCATTTTTGGTGTTTTGAGACAGAGTGTCATTTTGTGGTACTGGATGACCTGGAATGCACTATGCAGACCAAGCTTTCCTCAAACTCACAAAGATCCATCTGCTTCTGCTTTCCAAGTGCTGGGATTAAAGGTGTGCAACCTCAAATTCACAAAGATTCACTTGCCTCTGCTTCCCTGGCCTTGGGATTTTTAAAAATGGTGCTGGAGGGGCTGGGCTGGAGAGATGGCTCAGCAGTTAAGAACACTGACTGTTTTTGCAGGAGACCTGGGTTTGAATCCCAGCACCCACATGGCAGCTAACAACTGTCTAGTTCCATGGGATCTGACAGCCTCTTCTGTCTTCCGTGGGCATTGCATGACACAGGTGCACTTACCTACATGCAGGCAATACACACATAGACATAAAATAAAAATAATAAAACATTTAAAAAATGGTCCTGGAGATAGAACCCATGCACTTGCTAAATAAGCACTTTACCACTGAGCTGCATCCAGTCCCCCATTTTTGGGGATCTGTTTATTTATATTTTGTGTATGAGTGTTTTGCCTGCATGTATGTATGTGTATCACATACATGCAATGCCTGTGGTGGCCAAAAGAGGGCATCAGATCCCCTGGAACTGAACTTATAGACAGTTATTAGCCATCATGTGGGTTCTGGGAACTGAATCTGGTCCTCTGCGAGAGCAGCCAGTGCTCTTTAAATCCCTGAGCCATCTCTCTAGCTTCCTACTTTTTTGAGACAGGGTCATGCCTAGGTCAAGCCTTGAACTTTCAGTGATCCTCCTGTCTCTGCCTCCTGAGTGCTAGGATTATAGGCCTGTATTAGCATGCTCTGCTTGGGAAATGCTTTGAATAGATAACCTGCAGGATTTGGTGAAGAATGAGACTCCATGGCCAAACCAGGGCACAGTTGATACCTAAAATAGGCAAGCAGGGTGGAGTTCTGAGTTCACTTGCCAGCTTGAACTTTATTTATTTATTTGTTTATTTAATTTTTGAGACAGGCTCTCCCTGTAGCTGGGACTAAAGGTGTGTGCCACCACGTCCAGCTTTCTAGCTTGAATTTTTAGATGAGAAAAAGGAAAGTTCTACCTTGTTTAAGCCTTCATTATTTTTCTACTTCATGTAGTTCCTTCATGGCCCTGGGCACAGACTAGAAGAGCAGAGATACTGTGAAGTGTGAGGGCTGACCTTCCTGCCAGGTGTGCTATGAGGGTTAGATAACAACATTTCCTGAATCTGGCATATGGTAGGTGTTTAGTAAGTCTGCCCAAGATGGAAGAGGGACATGTGAATGGATATGCTGGCATAATTTATTTGAGGAGGCAAGACTTCAAATGGAGAATGAAAGGAGTTCACTAGATGAAAGCATCAGAAGGGACAGCACTCTGGGCAAAGGAGACAGTAGGAACAAAGAGAGACAAAAAGAGGGAAGTGAGGCCACTGTGGGTGCAAAGTGTCAAAATAAGCAAGAAGGGCAGAGCTATGATTTGAGTTTATGTTAAGCCAGTATTTATCAACATGCTCAATCAATTCCTGGAGGCATACTGTCAGAGACAGTGTTTGCTGAGCTCAAGTTAGAAAAAGCTAATCCTGGGCTGGAGAGATGGCTCAGTGGTTTAGAGCACTGACTGCTCTTGCAGAGAACCTGGGTTCAATTCCCAGTACCCACATGGCACCTGACAACCGTCCATAACTCCAGTTCCACGAAATCCGACACCCTCTTCTGACCTCAGCATGACTATGGGTGCACTTACACACATGCAGGCAATACAATCACACACATAAAATAAAATAAAAAATAAAATATTTTAATAAGAAAAAACTAGGGCCAGGTGTGGTGGTGCATGCCTTTAATCTCAGCACTTGGGAGGCAGAGGCAGGTGAGTTCAAGGCCAGCCTGGTCTACATAGCCCAGGACAGCTGGGGCTACAGGGAGACCCTGTCTCAAAAAGATCAAAAAAAGAAAAAAAAAAAGAAAAATCTAATCTGGGGCTGGAAATATGGCTCAGTGGTTAAGAATACTGGCTGTTCTGGTAGAAGACCTGGGTTCGAATCCCAGCACCTACATGACAGCTAACAACTGTCCGTAACTCCAGTTCCAGGGGATCCAACAGCCTCTTCTGTCCTTTGCAGACATTGCCCAACACGGGTGCACTTACCTACATGCAGGCATACACACATACACATAAAATAAAAATAATAAATATTTAAAAAAAGAGAAAAAAAACTAATCCTTCAAAAAGTTCTATTTCCTATTTGGTGATTGATTCATTCAATGGTGCCAAGTCCTAGAGAACACCAAATCTCAATCGGGGACTTTAAGGAACCATCAAGGGCATTCTTGGCTAGTTGCACTGCCAATGCAAAGTCTGGGAGGTGAGGAAGGGAGACACACCCTAACTGTTGGGAGAGTTGCTTTTGCTTTGGTCTCATACTGTGGTAATACAGGTTTTCAGGAGCTCTGGGCATTCCAGGGGCAACCAGGAGTCACGGAAGATTAGGGAGAAGGTAAATCCCCCAGAGGCATACTGTTTTTATTGAAAACTTGAATTCAGAATCTGTTGCTCAATCACTTAGCAGCTCAAATTCAGACTCAGCACCTTCTTCCACTAACCTACTTATTGGCGACTCACGCTTTCTTTCACACCACCTACACTACCACCCTTGGCAGCTCTGCTTTCCCATCTTGGTTCTAAAGCCTCCCTCTGTCCAGCTACATTATCCAGCCTCGGCACTGGTTAATCCCATACTGGCAAGGCTCTTAGAGGTCTCACAGCCTTCACTCTCACTCTCCTGTAGGCCACCTGCCATCTTTCTCGCTCCCGTCTTCACTCCCTTCGCCCTCAGCCTTACAGTCCCGCCTTCCGGTCTGCTCACACTGCCTCTCCATCTCATTTTACGCTCTGTATTGGCTAGATCGCTCGGTTACCGTCCCTTGAAGCAGTACTGCACGCCCACAAGACTCTCCATTGGCTTGCTGCTAGCATTATCGTCATCCTGCTTCTGTGTCCTTCCCGTGCGGTTCTCCATTGGCTGTTCTTTGTATCTCGCTTACGTCCCACTTCCTACGCAACCTGCAACCTGCGGATCTGTCACTTTTTGGACCTCTGGGTTCACTCCCTGCCGCTCCCGTTGCCTGCAGCCATTTCACCTTCCCTGCTGCTCAGACCTCCCTACTAGGTGGCATGCTTCCGCACACAGCTACCTGAGTAGCGCATCACCCCTATTCCAGACTTTCCATTGATTCCGCGATCATCCCGCCTCCCACGCATGGTCAGGCGTCCTCATTGGCCTCGCGCTTCTCCTGCGGGCCAGTCACTGCCTACGTCACCAGCGCTTGGCTATCCATTGGCTGTTGGCTGTACCTGTCTTCATCTCTCCGCCTACGCCCCCTGGAGCCCTTCCTCCCTCTCTCCGTCCCGCGCTGGCCTTCCTATTGGCTGCTCACCCCTTCAGGCCCTGCCCCCGCCGGTCCCACCACCGGTGCCGTCGGTGCCGCTGCCGCCGCCGCCGCCGCCGCCGATATGGCGCGCACGGCCCCTGTGGAGCCCCCGCTGCGGCATCCCGCGCCCCCCTCGCCGGTCGCGGGAGAGCCCCGCGCCTCGGTTGAGGCGGCGGTGGCCCCGCGGAGGGTGCTATTCGCTGACGAGGCCCTGGGACTACCGCTGGCGCAGCTGCGCCGCTACCGGCCGTGGGGCGGGCCCGGGGCGGGCAAGATGGCGGCGGCGGCCGGGCAAGATGGCGGCGGCGACGGGGCTGACGAGGACGACGATGGCGAGGATGGGGATGAAGGGGCAGAGGAAGAGGAAACCTGCCCTGAGCCCTCGCCGCTCTGCCCCGTTCCCGCTGGCGGGGGGTTTTACCTGGTGCCCACATTTTCTTTGCCGCCCGCGCCGGGTCGTCTTGAGCGTTTGGGGCGTGTGATGGTGGAGCTGGAGGCGCTACTGCCACCTCCTGGAGCGGTCCCCGGGGGTGCCGGGGTGTGGGTGCCTGGGGGGCGCCCGCCGGTGGTGCGCGGGTTGGTACGCGTGCTGAACCGCTCCTTCGAGAAGGCGGTGCACGTGCGAGCCTCACACGACGGCTGGGCTTCCTTCTGTGACCACCCTGCGCGCTATGTCCCGCGCAGCCCACCTGGGGCAGGAGCGGGAGGAACAGGAGCAGGAGATCCCATCCTGGATCCTGGGCTCGGCCTGGGCTCTGGCCAGGCATCTGCCTCCTCGCCCGACGACGGTGGCCGCACTGACCGCTTTGCCTTCCAGCTGCCCTTTGCTGAGGGCGCGGGCGATGGGGCGCGCCTCGACTTCGTGGTGCGCTATGAGACCCCTGAGGGCACTTTCTGGGCCAACAACCATGGCCGCAACTACACAGTCCTGCTTCGGATCGCACCCGCTCCCACATCCACTGATGCCGAAGGGCTGCCCCAGCAGCAGCAGCAGCAGCAGCAGCTGCAGCAGTTGGAGCCACAGCCTGAGTGCCAGGGTCCGGTGGAGGCTGAGGCCAGGCAGCTGAAGAGCTGCATGAAGCCAGTGAGGCGCAGGTAATGTCTGCCAGCGCCACCTCCGCCAACGCAGGGCTGGATGTAGAATGGAGGACAAGCATCCAGGCCCAGGAGCCCCTCAGGCCTGCTCTCCAAGACAGGGAGGAGGGTGCATTCAGTCAAATAGTAGTGGAGGCCAAACATGTGCTAGGCAACTTTTAAATACTGGAGTTTCATTCATTTATTGAATTCCACTGTAAGGCCCTGAAAGACAAGACATCTTCCCTGCCCCAAGCATCTTGCAAGGCTCCTGTGGGAAGCAGTATGAAAAAGCAAGCAAGCAGATAAGATAAATAGGGATAATGTTAGTGCTGAGAGGAAAGGAAAATGCAGTAAGGCTCAGGAGGAAGTGGCTGTAGACATGGTATTGAGGGTGAGTCCTGGATGGTGGTGAGTTATGGGAGAGAATTGGTAGAAAAGGGACTAGGGAGAACTTTTCCTGTGAAAGTGCCATTTAAACTGAATCCTGAGTGATGCTGAGTAGTTATGTATATACATGGAAGGAAGCTGTTCTAGGTGGAGGGGACATCTGGAGGTGGTTATTTTGAGCTTGGTATGAATGACAGCTAATGTGGTGGAGTGGAGAGAGCTTTGTGTGGTGGTGTGGACTAGACCTTCCAGTGTGGGGTATGGAATATGACATAGTAGAAAGTCAGAGAGGTGGAGAAGCTGGTTGAGGAAGTGGTGGTAGTTGGCTTTTTGACTTCAGCCATTTCTGGTCTTAAAGTCTATGCACGCTCTTTTACTGTTCTACTCTTTCTTAGTCTGAGGCCTCTTGTAGAGGTGAGGGGCTGAAGCCATGCTTTCACATGGAAATATTAGATTGCAGAGGCAGAACCAGCTGGGGAATGGACTTGAAGCTCATGTCCCTTATTCTTTTGCACATAAACTCCATAAACTATTCAGGGACTGGGAGAAAGAATCACGTATAGCCCAGGAAATTCTGATACAGTGTTTTCCTAGGCTTCTACCAGGGCTTGAAGTTTTTCAAGGCCAGAAGCTAGGCCTGATTCTTTTTGTGTCATCTTAGATAGTCTTGGATCAGTATGTTTTCCCCATCATGTTTTCCTGCTCCGGTGAGGACTGGAAGTGGAATGGGAAGATCTTGTTTGGCCCTTGGATCTGCTTAATCAGAAGCTGCATGATAGAGCAGGGTGTTGTGGGATTTTCTGGATCTGGTTAGGCTGTGAGTAGTTCCGAAAGGTTTAGCTCTTGGCTGGTGGGCCTTACAGCACTGGGATTTGGGTTCAACCTGAATTTGGGATTGGATTTCAAATCCCAGTCCTGTCACTTACTGGAGTTGTGGCTATGGCTAACTCTTAAACTGCACTGTGCCTCAGATAACTAACTACCTCATCTGTAAAACAGGTAATTATGGCACCTTCTGCACAGGATGAATAAAAAGTACTTAGAACAGCCTAATTCAAAGTAGTGCCATTGAGATGTTAACTAGTATTAGATATGTGCAATTCTATGGATTTCTCCTCCCAAACTCAGCTTTGTCCATCAGCTGTGTGGTCTTGCCTCTATCACTTCATTTGTTAAAGGGGAATGGCAATCACAGTGTGGTTGAATTGGACCCAGCAACTGGGCAAGGTAACTGAGGGAGAGTTGTAGCTGTGAATGGTGGTCAGTATTTACTGATCTCTGGTAGGAGTAGCAGGTATAATCTCCCCTTAAGGCCATTTGTACACAATGTCATTTCTAGGTGCTGTAATTATTAAAGGGGGAAATTGGGAGTGCAAAGAAGTGATCCAGGTTGCTCAAAGTCAATCTGCTACTGATGACAGGAACAGGGAGGAAGTGCTAAGGATGTTGGTTGAAGAACAGATTCTGGATTTCATTGCTGGTATTTTTATTCTTATTTTCTGCCTATTGTGTGTGCTTTATGTTTTATTGAGGTATATATACCAATGTGTAGCATTCTGATCTTGAGTGTATGGCTCAGAAGATTTATACATGTGTATGCATTTGTGTAACCACTACCCAAATTAAGAGATTGAACAGTTCCAGTTCCTCCAGAATCACCTTCGTTTCAATCACTTCCCAAGTCAGCATCTCAGCTGGCACTTATGAGAGCCCTGTCTCCCACATATGATAGTTTGGGTATTGAAGTTTAGTTATTTTCATGAGTGTGAAAGGAAGAGAACAGACAAATCAAAAACCTTGCTAGGCCAAGGTGGGTGGAGAGGGTGTTTTTCTTTAAAAATATATAGGTGGTTTTAAGGAGAAATTGAAGCTGCTCATTTAGACAATTGTTTTGGTAGCTGGCCCCAGGTTTGTGGTTCCTAATGTGACTTGTGATATTATTTTAAGTGGGCAGATGGCTTTTTGATAGCTTCTTTATCTTTTGATCTCAGCTCTTGCAAAGGAGAGGCTGATGCTCACTGCAAGATCAGCGATAAGGTTTTCTTTGTTGGTTCGTGGCTTTCTTGGCGAGTACATTTCAACTTGTTATTGTTTTAAGGCCTGTGGGCTGCTGATGACTTGGAGTGCTGTTGAAGAACAACTACCCCCTGCCATCTAGCCCTCTGGGGAAATGGTGGCACACCTCCAGGGATACCCTTTTGTTAACCTGTAGGGGACCCACTGTACAGGGCTTCAGAAATGTCGGCTGTAGGCCCATTGTGCACTGGGTATTGTTAGGTGGGGCCAGAGGAGAAGTCTGATGGTCATGGGGATGTAGTTCATAAGGCCACTTGGCTGCTTTTTCAATACCATTAGGCTTAGGGATAATCTATCAACAAGCATTTATGGAGGGCCTATTATGTGCTGATCACAGTGCTAGGATCAAGCAGGGAAGAAGATGCAGACTGATTCTAAGATACCTAAGGGTTTGTGGTGGAGCCTGGTGGCAGGACATACATATGTGAACACTTTCCATGTGAGGACATGACTCCCTTCTCTTTGCTAGGTATTTTGCTGAGTATTTTTGTTCAGTCTCAATTATTCTTGACAGTGGTCCCTGTGGTCTAGACTGCTTTTAATCTCTTTCCTGGATGAGCAAACAGGTTCTGAGTCCCAAGTGCTAGGACTGGTGTGGGGAGGAGCCTTCCTAGACTGCCTTGGCTTCACGCTCTGAAGAAGTATCCTGTTCCTCTTAAAAATAAAGACTGACAAAAACATGACTGTGGCCTTCTCACACCCTCATATCTTCCCCAGTCTGGTGTCTACTGGCTTCTAGTTTTACTTTATACTCTGTTCCTGAGCTGTCACCATGGCCTTTCTGTTACTCCTTCCTGCCTTGGGGTCCTTGCTCATGCTGTTTTCTTCACCAAGAATGCATGTCCTGTACCTCTCATAGTCTCATATATATAGCCCTTCAGCCTGGCACATGAGCCTCACCACAAGTTTAGGATCATTCTCCATCTGGCTCCTCACTTATGTGTCTTTTTCAAGTGGTCTTTCCCTTCAGCCTTTGCCTCTTACTTCCAAAAACATAATAGAAACCATAAGAATAGAACTCCTGACAACTTGCAGTCTCCAAGCCTGAACATTGACCCTCCCATGTGTTACAGGTGAGGAGGGGTCCTTTCTCGTGCTTCAGGCCAGTCCCTGTTCCTTTGCTCTAGAGCTTCAGTTTCTGTCACTCGCTTCAGAATCTGATGTCATCAGTCCCCTTTCTATCTTGGCAGGTTTGTTTCCCTGCCCTCCTTACTTGATCCTCTCTGTTGCCCTATCCTTAGGCCAAGGTCTCTGTCTTTACTGAGCCGCTTTGCCCTTTGCTCCCAGTGAGCATCGGATCACCCTTGCTCCCTTCACCTGACAAGTCCCCAGCACTTGCTTTGGGTATCTACTCACCTCCACTGTTCATTTGCACCCCCCCCAGCTTTGACCAAACTATAGGAGGGTTTGTGGTTTTTTTTTTCTGGAAATGGCTGACTGCTCCTACTTTGGACACTTCTGTTCTTGGCCTTGGGACCACTCTCTACTGCTTTTCCTCAAATTTCTGGCTCTTCTCTTTCTCCTTGCTCTTTGGACCTCAGGTACCAAACTTGGTGTCTCCACTTGCCTGCAATCTCAAGGTTCCTCAAACTCCTTAGAGCTGTCTCCATTACCTTCCACACAGTGTTCCTGAGCAACCTCTTATTTCCTGACTTCTTGTTTTCTAAGCATCCTTAAGTCCTTGCTGGTCCCAAGGTCTGGGCCAGGGCTTCTTGTTTTAGGGTGTTCTTTTCTTTCCTAAAGGCCCTGACTTCAGTTTGTAGTCAGACCTTCATTAGGGGATTATTGGATGATGTCCCTTCTAGACTGTAAGCTCCGTGAGGGGTAGGGACATGGTCTGCATTTGGTGACCATTGTATTCTCACAGACCTGCCATCATGCATGGCACTTAGCAGGTGCTCAATAAATGTTTGTTGAAAGAATGAGTTTGAGTATTTTTTAAAATATCTTCCTCTACATAGGTTTCCTAGTTGGGTTTTCTCATCAGTGTGACTCCAGGGCTTGTCCCTGTGCCTGATGCGCAGTAAGACCTCAGTGGGTTTTAGATGCACCTGTAAGCTGAATGGATGGAATCCAGTTGTATAGCTGAGTTGGCAGCCTTAGGGGAAATGAGAACAATTGGAATTGAAACAGGGTGGGTCAGGGTCCTCTGAGTTGTCTGTAGAGAGGATTTCATGTGAAAGTAATATTCCTTCCTTTCATAGGAAATAGGCCATCATAGTTGAGGGTGTGGGCCTGAGGCTGCACACTAAAGGGACAGAGCTGGGATTTGAACCTGTGCAGCCCTGCTCTAGTGCTCCAGTTTTTTTTTTTTTTTTTTAAACAGCCATACTGGGCAATTGGGCTTACCAGCTGTGTACTAGTGGGACAAGTTGTTTTCCTTTTTCAGAACTTTAGTTTCCTTTAGTAGAAATTTGGAAGGAATTACAGTTAAAGCACTTTATTGGTGCTTTTCCTGTTTTCTCAGTGAACTCAGCTCACTGAGGTATTACTATCATCTCCTCTTTATAGACGAGGAAGCCAAGGCACAGAGGTTAGGTAATGTGCCCCAGGTCACATAGCTGGTATGTAGAGCTGGGATTATCCAGCATTGTATTTCTTGACCACTTATTGAGATGCAAAATCAATTTGCTGGGTTCCAACAGACATTGAAAAATGGCATAGGAAATAGCACGGTGCATTATGACATGCAGTAAAGGTAAGTGTTGCTTCAAAGAACAACTGTTTCAGTGTTTTCTCTCTTTTTCTGTATGTGTGGGGTCTGTCTGCATTTACTTGTGTGGGTGTGCTGGGTTATGAGGTGAAATGGTTTTCTTACTGTGGGCTGTGACCAAAGAATTGTCACTGAGATAAAAGAAGCTTGGAGCATGATGAGCTACTCTTCCACAGCGCTGAATTGTCCCCAAGTCCTAGAGGCTTACACACTTGCTCAGGAAAGCAAGGTAATGCCCCACATAACTTGGTATCTTTCACAGCCTCCACACCCTACTTTTTTTCCCAGAAGGTACATGGCTTAGGGTAACCAGAATTCCAGGAATCTCAGAGCAGCTTTCTGAAGCCACCTGCCCCAAGAGTCAACATCGTCATGGTTGTTTCCATGGGAGCTGGGCTCTGTTGAACTTTGGAGTTCAACACCTGACCCATTTCGGGCAAGCAGTGTTCTTTGAAACTTTGAGTGCTGGGAGTGCTCACAGAGGACCCAGATGGTGGTGGCAGTGATATGACTGAGTCCACTTTGCTTTTCTCTGGGGCTTGTCAGCCCTCATTTGCTCATTCATTCTTCAACTCGGGCAAGTCATCTTTCTGTTTGTCTCAGCTGTCCTAAGCTGGGGTTAATGCCACCACTTTCCAAAATCTCATTCCCTAGTCACCAGGGACTGTGTGGGGTCAAGTATACATTGAGTTTCTTGAGGGCAGAAGGAATTTTCACAGCAAGTAGAATGGTCCCTCCTAGGTAACATGGGCTTGATTGATGTTCACAGGTACTTGAATGATACATACCAAGACATCCCCAGCAGTATGTATCCTGGCCCGCTCTTGCCCACTGTCCTTGAGAAGATGGCACATGACATTTGTGGGACTGGTGCCAAAAGAGCAACTTTCGTTCTTGAAAATTAGCAGGTGCACTGTAGGTACAGTTTGCAGTTTGGTTCTTAATCTCCCCATTTTTCTAAGAACTCATCTGTTACTGATGAATGAGTCAGTGTACACTTGTACTCAGTCTCTTTCCTCATTTTGATTGTAGTCATAACTACCTCCAAATTTTTACTGTGAAGGACAGTTCAAAGATTTTGTTTCTCTCTCTCTCTCTCTCTCTCTCTCTCTCTCTCTCTCTCTCTCGACTTCTTGAGGTTGGTGTGAGCAACTTGTTTACTTCTGCTGACTTCATATATTTTGGGTTTGGCTGAGGTTTGGATGTCTTCAGCTGTGGAAGCACTGTGGTGGCTGAAGAACTTTTGTATGTATTCTTCTTTCTTCAAATGAATGGAAGTCTTTTGCTAGTGACTGCTTCTTGAGTTCTCTTTTCACTAACATCTATGACTAGTGGTTTTTAGAAGCTTGGTTGTCATGCATGTCAGGATTGGGCTAGATTACAGGGGAAATTTATGTAGCCTTGCCCCTTGGAAGGAGGACTGAGTTCTGTTCATTTTGGGAGTATTATTGAAGAACTTTGCTTTCAAAGATCCCAGTAAGATTAATTTTTTAAACAAAAGAAGTTATCTTTGTGGGATAAAAGTCATACTGAGATCCAAAGGCCTGGACCTGCTGAAGAAACTGGTTCAGTATCAAGGTGATTTGCTTTGAATCCCTCTTTCTCATCTGTGATGTGTGGGAGTTGTTGCCTGACTCCCACAGTCATCCACCCCAGGCTTTATAGTATTCAGACCTCTGATGGGATGCCAAGCCCTAGACCACAGAGGAAGACAGACTTCTCTTTCTAAAGCTTCCAAACATATACAGTTCAAGCTTCTTCCAATAGAGCACCAATAAAAGGTTCCTATGGCCACTCTCTTGGAGTAGTCTAATGACATGTCCCATGGAACCATGGAAAAAAATGAATATGTGGGCAATGGGAAGGTAAAAAGCCTTAATGGAAGAGAAGTGGGGTGGAGGGTGGGGGGGGCAACAGTATACATGTCCATGTCTGTTATTGGTTCTTCTATCTACTTCCAGATAGGATTAGAGATGGGGTTGGGTAAGAGTGCAGTGTCCCTTAATCACATAGCATCAGCTTGTTGGTTTAAAAACTTGAATTTTGATCCTTGCTCCTCAGCCTCTGCTTCATCATCTATAAGATGGAGATACTAGTACTGCCTACTTGAACGGATTAGAAGTACCTACTCCACAGTCACTGTGAGGATTAAATTACTATATGTGATGTGCAGAGCATTGGCTAATGCCATAGTATTATGTATAGGTCAGCTAGTGACATTCTGTAAAGGCAATTGATTAAGTATTTCCTCAAAAGTTTTTAACTTTTTCACAAGTGTCAACAGTGTCCTGTTGCCTTTTAGGAAGAAAAAAGTGTGATTGTCTAAACCCCGCCTTGGGTCTCTGAATCTTGAAATCATTGCTTCCCCCATTTGCCTTATCTGTAGATACTTAAATGTGAGAATAAGAACAGCGATTTCTCCATGACAAGGTCTCACCCCCAGATCTGGCTGAAATACTTGGCTTATGCCAGTCAGGGATCTGACTTGGCTGGCAGAAGAGCAGTCAGTCCAATAGATTTCTCCCCTTGATTTAGCTGCTTCTCTGCGCCAGGCCTGATTTCTGGCTTTCTATCCTTATTTCCTTTGATTCTCCTGTGTTTCATGTATACATCCTGGCTCTCCTGTGCTTCAGCTAGCATATGAGGAGGCGATGTGACCTGGTATGGGGGCAAAGGAGGGGGTGGAGTAGAGTCTCTTTGACTCCCTTCTCAGTTTCCCTTTGCTTTCCTTCCTCCCCTCTGCTGCTGCTTGTGTCCCAGAGTCCTCTCTGCCCTTTCTTGAAAAAGGCTTCTATCACAGCCAGCCACAAACCTTAAAGAAGTGACCCAAACTTGCTGATAAAACTGCCCAGTGCTCTTTGGTTTGTGACCACAAAATAAAGGAAACAAGCTAGCTATTCAGGAGGAAGGAAATGGCTACATAAATGATGGTAAGGCCATATGATATGAGCATTAAGCAGCTATTTTCAATGTTTGCAAAAGTCTATAATGATGTTTCTTACTGTTTAATGGACAAAGCCAGCTGTGAAAGTATGTTTTCAGAATCTAAATGGTTTCAGAGGCTGTCTAGAATGAAATTTTCCCAATAGTTACAGTGGTTGCCTCCTGGCTAATTGTGTGATTGTTTAGTTTCCTGAATCTTTATGCTTTACTGTATTTTGTAAAATTTCTACAATGAGAGTGTGAGATTTTTACAATCAAGGGATAAAAAGCAGCAGAAAACAGTAGCTGTCAGGTGAAGATAGGCTACCACAGAGATGCAGAAGGTGCCTATGGGTGGCAGAGCTGACCTCACAGGGTGTCAGATCTATGTACTGTCTCATGTGCCCCACAGGCCTCTTGAGGAAGAGCTGAGGATGAAGAGCATGGCTGATTATGCCCCTGTCATGGGTAAGCATCTGGCAGGCATTGGAAATTCTAGTTCCTTTTAGCATCTTAATTATTTTTTATGGTGCTGGGGATGGAATCCAGGGTCCGTATGTGCTAGGCAAATGCTCTCCCCCTGAGCTATGTCCCCCAAGCTTTCTAGTGCCCTTTAACCATTCTTCTTTGTTCTTTCTATAAAAATGAAAACGTCACCCCTCCCTTAGGCTTCCACGGAAAGCGTCCAATGTAAACTGTCAGTTGGCTATACTAGCAGATTTTCTTAGAGAATTAGGCTGCATGTATACCTGTCTTGCTCCAACAGTGCCCTTTTCTCTCTGACAGAACATCCTGATGTCCAAGAATCACTGGGTCCCCTGGTGGCCCCTACTCCTCTCCGTCCATGGCCCCAAATGACACTTCAGGTAAGCAGGCCCTTGTAGCTTTGGTGTGAACAACCCAATAGGAGGCTAACAGTGTGACCACAGCTGGATCTAGTGGTGGTGCTGACTAGCTCTTGTCTATCCTAGAAGGGAGGCGGGGAGTCACAGAATCTAGAAGTTGATGGGGGAGGGGAAGAATGAAATGATGAAATACTTCACTTGGGTTCACTTGTTAATTAGCAAACATTTAGGGAATATTTGTTTTGTATTACACTAGAAACCTAACAAAGATGCTATCTGTATTGGCCTTACATTTTAGTGCAGAAACATGATAAAATGATAGTTAAAATATGTGTTGTTTTAGATGAAGAGGAGTACTAAAGGAAAAATGGAGGAGGAGAGAGGAAGAGAGATGGGGGACATTTACAACTTTAGATTAGGAGTCTGGGAAGGCCTTTGTGATAAGTGAGGTTTGAGAGAAAACTGAAGGGGAGAGAATGAGCTGCATGACTAAGTGGGAGAAGAGCATTCCAAGCAAGTGCTAAGCTTCTAAGGTGGGGCCCTCTGCTGTTTGTTAGGAACAAGAAGACTGATGTGGCAGGAACAGAGTGAAGTGGCAGGGGCAAGGCCAAGGAGGTGGCAGGGGGCAGATTGGGTGGGGCCATGGGAACCAAGGTGAGGACTTGGGCTTTCTTTACCCTGAGTGAGGGGGAGCCACAGGAGGGAGGGTCATGAGCAGAGGAGGAATGTGGTCTGAGGTAGGGTTTAGCAGGCTCCCTCAGTCTAGTGTTGGAGACTGTTGGAGAAGGGCAGAAGCAGAGGCACCGAGGAGAAAAATAAATAAAAAACAAAAACAAAAAAGCCCAGTGATCTAGTGCCATCATCCCATCTCAGAAAATTTACAGCATTCCTTCATGTCATCCTCATGTCATCAGTTATTGACTTAGTGATCAAATTTTCTTATAAGTGTTCTCAGGACCCCAACAAGGTGACACATTGCATTTCATTGAAATATCTCTTTCACTTCTGAATCTTTCCCTAACTTCTTTCCTTGTAATTTGTTTCTGAAACCCTGTTTGTCCTGTAGAGTTCCACACAGTCTGAGTTTGACTGATTACATTCATGTGGAAAAACATTTCTTACTCTGTATGTGTGTGTGTGTGTGTGTGTGTGTGTGTGTGTGTGTGTGTGTAAATGTATAAGTGTGTATGTATTTGTGCAAGTTGTTGAAGTCAAAGGACAACTTGTGGGATCCAGATTTCTGTTTTCTCCTTTTAAAATGTGGGTTCTTAGGACCAGACTCAGATCATCAGGCTTGGTGCAAGCAGTGAGCCATCTCGATGGCCCTCTTACTCTATTTTTATTAATTCATTAATCTTATTTAATTTAATGATTTTTGGTTTTCTGAGACAGTGTTTCACCTTGTAGCCCTGGCTGGCCTGGAACTCACGGAGACCCTCCCTCTTCTGCCTCCCAAGTGCCAGGATTAAAGGCAGGCACTACCATGCCTAGCTACTTTAGTGTTTTATTAAATTTAATTAACTTAATTTACTAAGCCATTAATTTTACTAAATCTATTTGTTAAATGTAGTCTATTATTATTAAATTCATTTAAAAAGAATAAATTCCATTAAGTTTCATTAAATTCCACTTCCTTTATTGGCTGGGCTTTTTTCTCTAAAGAAAAAGTATTCCACATCAATTGTATGTATAGTTTGTACAGGAAAAGCAGTGTAAATGCTTAATCTCCCCTCTTATTTATCAGTATTCATTTAAAAATGACCAGTTATCAGTGGGGTTTTGCTTTTGGTGTGTCATTATGACAGTCACATATTTGGTGATTTTTGACTCTATTGCATTTGTTTTGATGCTTACATTGGACCTATCTGTGGCCAGTAAGAGCTTTTTTTCTATTGTCTCCTTTTACCTATTAATGCTCCCCATTATTCTGTTAGTCAATTCTCATATCTTGCTATGACAGTATGTCATAGTTCTGTACTTTGCCTGTTTCAAACTTGAAAAGCTGTTTCATTAAGAAGCCTTAGTTTTCTGGGCATGGTGGCACATGCCTTTAATCCCAGCACTCAGAAGGCAGAGGCAGGAGGATCTCTCTGGGGCTGGGGCAGCAGGGAGACCCTGCTTCAAAAAGACCAAAAAAAAAAGCCTTAGTTCCTTTCAGTGATTCAGTGGAGAATCATATCTAGAGATCCCGATTTGGGGGCTCAGCATGATAGTTGCTACTAGACTGATCATTGTTTTCAAAGACAACTAGGAGATAATTTTTTAACTTTTAAAAATACATTGTGTGTGTGTGTGTGTGTGTGTATAGGTCTGTGTGCGTTGTGCAGTGGGATATATATGTAGGAATTGGTTTGGTTTCTCCTTCTACCATCTGGGTTCTGAGGATTCAACTTGTCAGGCCGATTAGCAAATGCTGTTATCCTCTGAGCCATCTTGCTGATCTGGAAATATTTTTTAAAATAAATTTAAAAATTTTATTTATTATTTTTACTTTATTTATATATGAATGCATTTCTGCATGTGTGTAAGAGCGCCCATGTTGTTCAGTGCCCTCGGAGGTCAGAAGAAGGTATCAGATCTCCTGGAACTGGAGTTACAGATGGTTGTTAGCTGCCGTGTGGGTAACCAATAGGATAAATCATAACTTATACAATTCTATTTCACAAGAATTAGATTATTCTAGTCTAATGCTGTACCGAACATCTTCGTACATGTAGGCAAGCATATCTAGTTCACAGAGGAATTGTTCACAGCTCTAAGAATGAGCTACTAAACATTTTAAACTTCAGTGCTAATTGAAAAGAGGTGATGAGATGAATAGTTCTACATAGTGTGTTTCCTTCTTCCTGGCTTTTTTTGTCTTTTTGAGTCAGGATCTCCCTATGGCCTAGAATTCACTATGTAGATCAGGCTGGCCTCAAACTCACAGAGATCTGACTGCCTCTGCCTCCCGAGTGCTGGGATTAAAGGCATGTGCCACCATGCCCAGTGAAAATGCGTTTTTTTTAAATTTTAATATTTTATTATTTTTATTTTATGTGTATGAGTGTCATGCCTGCATGTAGGTAAGTGCACCTGTGCTCATGCAGTGCCCACAGAGGCCAGAAGAGGGCGTCAGATCCCTTGGAACTGGAGTTCACACGGTTGTTAGCTGCCATTTGGGTTCTGAGAATTGAACCTGAGTCCTCTGCAAGAGCAGTCAGTGCTCTTAACAGCTGAGCCATCTGTCCAGCCCAAGGTTATAAATATTCTTATACATTGTCTAAGGCTAACAACCAAAACATGAAAATGTATATTTTTAAAAGAGAAAATCCATCATGAGTTCATATGTTACTGGCAGCCATTCACTGACTGTCACTGCCCAGTGAATTACTTGGCTTTGTCGTCATGATATTATAATTTTGTTATTTTATTTTTAATTTTTATTGTTTGTAAAAATTTTTATTTATTATCTTTATTTTATGTGTATGTGTGTATTGCCTACATGTAGGTAAGTACACCCGTGTTGTGCAGTGCCCATGGAGGACAGAAGAGGCTGTTGGCTCCCCTGAGACTGGAGTTAGGGACAGTTGTTAGCTGCCATGTGGGTGCTGGGATTCAAACCCGGGTCTTCTGAAAGAACAGTCAGTGTTCTTAACCACTGAGTCACCTTTCCAGCCCCTAATTTTGTTATTTTAATATATATGATCAAATCTTTGGAGTTCGGAGAATTATAGAGGGTTCTTTAATGTAATTTTGCCTGAAATCTCTGTGGGGCTGGGTGTGGGCTGTCTCCAGTTCTGTTTCTTCTTGTTCCCTCCCCTGCTCTACTTTACTCCATTCCCTTTTTCTCCCCATCTCTCTCCAGGTTTCTGAAGTTACAGTGACCAGTGACCCTCAAGAAGAAGGTGACACCCCTAGAAGCAGTCCACTTGTGGCTTTTACAGAGGTGCCCCAGGCACCGGCCATCAGGATTCCCCCATCTACCTGTGGCCTGGGTGGCCCCCCCAGGGACCAGGCCTCAGGGCCCGATGCAAGTGAGGGGGCCACTGGGCCCTTCATGGAACCCAGCCATCAGCAGGTGGAGGCCACATGGGAAAGTGGAGGGGGACGAAAGGACCCCATGGTGGGGGCTATTATGTATGAGCCTGGTGGGGGTCTGGAGATCGTGAGTGGGTTGGAGGAGCTACTTGGCGAAGACACCATTGACCAGGAGCTGGAACAGCTCTACCTGTCTCACCTGAGCCGCTTGCGGGCTGCTGTGGCTGCAGGGGGTGGTGGGGAGGGCTCTGCAGATGGGGGACTGTCCCCCAGCCATCCCCTGGGCATACTCACGGACCGTGACCTGATCTTGAAGTGGCCTGGCCCTGAGCGGGCCCTGAACAGTGCCCTGGCCGAAGAGATCACACTGCACTATGCACGCCTGGGGCGTGGTGTAGAGCTCATCAAGGACACTGAGGACCCTGATGATGAGGGGGAAGGTGAAGAGGGGCTTTCCATCACTCCTTCTAGTCCTGAAGGAGACAGCCCCAAGGAGTCACCTCCAGAAATCCTCTCTGGGGCTCGCTCTGTGGTAGCTACTATGGGAGAGGTGTGGCTCCCATGGGCTGAGGGCTCTGGATGTGACAGCTCCATGGTTCTGGGAACACAGGGTCAGTTTTCTGAGAATCCAGAGAAAGGGATGGGCAAGGACATCAACTCTTTGCACATGAATAGGGTTCTTGTTGGTGTGACCAGGTCCCCAGGTGAGGCTGGGACAGAAGCCCGGATGGAGGTTACTGCTGAGTGGGCAGGCAACTTGGTATCTATGCCTGATAAGGAGCCAGCTGTACCAGTTCTTCGGGAGCAGAATCCTGCTCTCCTTGATCCCATGGGGACTGAAGTCTGCCTTTCTAGTGTAGCCAACCCTCACATGATTTCCCAGGATGAAGAAAGTGCAGGTCCAAATCTTGAGCCCCCAAAGAGGTCTCCTACCCTAGCAGCCCCTGCAGAATGTGTGTGTGGATTGGCTCCTCAGCTCCGGGGGCCCTTAACCCAAACTCTGGGAGTCCTGGCTGGGCTGGTGGTGGTCCCTGTGGCTTTGAACAGTGGTGTGTCCCTTCTGGTGCTTGCACTGTGCCTCTCCCTGGCCTGGTTCTCATAGGGACTGCCTATAGGTTCGGCAATAGCGGGCTTTCTGTTCTCTGGGGTCTGGGGAGGGGCAAGACCTCTGTCACCCCGAGAGAGTTGAGATGAGATCTGTGGCCAGTGTAGAGAGGGACTTTGGTCCTTTGCTTCTGAGAGTGCTTGACTCGGAGAGAGGCTTTCTCATCACCAAACTCTCTAGTCAGCACTGGGCTCCCTGTAGTGGTACCTGTGGAGAGGAACAGAATGGTGGATGATGTGAGAACTTTTAGAATGGAACCAGGCATGCCCCCCACCCCCAAGCCTGTATTTATTTTTGTATAATTCTCTGGATGAGGGAGAGTGGTCATGAGCTGGTCTTGGGGCACAATTACCCAGAGATATATTTATTAACAGCCAACCTGTGCAACCTGCTGGAGCTTTATTTTTAATTTAATTTATATAGAGTACCTATTATTATATGCCACAATAGAGCTCTATGAGAAATGATGTGTCTTGTTGTGCCGGTCTCCTGTTTCGGCCTGAGTGTGCAGGGTGGTCATGTTCTGGGGGATGACCATGGTGGGGCATGGGAGTGGCCGTGGTCATGCCTCCTGCTGCCTCTTCAATGTGTCCTTGAGGATCTGTATCTCCTCACCTTGTGGTCCTAATACATGTGGTCGTTTGGTCTTTGCATATTCTGCCCATGGGAGCCTGCCTCTATATATATGGGTGGTTGTGGTGGGAACCAGAGAGGAAAAGTGTTGGCTACATGAAGTTTTGGTGTTAGTCATGTGGCTGCAGTGATGGCTCTGGTCAACTGTGGATATTGTAACATGGGTTATGAGTTGGCCACAAGGTTTTGAGGTTATGGAAAAAAAGTAGCTTTTGATACCAGCAGGGAGATCCCTCAACCCTCAAGATGGCAAAAACCTCAGAAAGGAATTAATGTACTGTGAAAAATTTGTATCAGATTTGTTGTCCACAGACATTGCATTTCTACTCCAAACAGGAAACTCAGAAGCTTTAAAAGAAAGGATAGATACATTTATTGCATGCAAATAAAAACTCTTGGCATAGCAAAATAAAACACCATATATTTATTTACTTCCCTTTACAGCAAAACTTTAAATTTTTTAAAATTTTGTTGGTGATGTATGTATGTATGTATGTATGTATGTATGTATTCGGCAGAGTTTCACTTTGTAATCCAGATTGGCCTGGAATTCACAGTTCTCCTGATTCAAACTCCTGGTGCTAGGATTACAGGTATGTGTTACCATGTATGCCTAGTGATACAACAAAACTTAAAAGAAATATTTACAGTAGCTTTCTTCAGTTCTCTCTTCTCCAATACCTCAGTGCCTTTCTGAAACAGCCCCAATCTTTTTTTCCCTAACCACTTCAAAAGTGCTGCTGCTGTTCACTGTAACAGGAGTTAAGTCCCGGAGCTCATCTTACATGGTCTCTTGCAGCATTTGATAGTTGATTATCTCTGTTCTCAGCCTTTTCTTCACTTGGTTTCCAGGATGCTACACTCCTCATTTTCCTCATTTCTCATTGGGTATTTTAGAACAGTGCCCATCACACATATGTGCCCAACTAATACCCATTGAATGAGACACATAAAGGAACAAACAAATGTGTAGGGAAATATAGAGAAGTGTGGGCAAGACCTTAGTTGGTCATTTAGTGGTTACAAGCTCAGTTCAGCTCCACAAGTGCTAATTGACCACCTCTTCTCTGCTCTGTGGACACTGAGTGAGGAGCTCAAAGTCCAGTGGGGATGACAGGCATGGAGAAGGAAACTAAGTGCAGCATGGTCGGTGTATTATAGAACTGATAGTGTCCGTGGTCTGAAAAGCCAGGACAGATGCTCAGCTTAGTGAGGGACTCTGAAAATCTTGGAAGATATGGTGCCTGGTTTGAGTTCTCAGTCTACCAGATAGTGAAGGGGAAGAGAGGACAGTTCAGGCTGAAGGAATAGACTTGTGGTCTGGAAGCAAATAACAGCTAGTGAGAAATTCAGCACATCTATTTTTCAAGGAGTATTTTTGATACAGGTTCTCTGTAGCACAAGTTGGCCTTGAACTCACTAAGTAGCGCAGGCCTTGAAATTGTGGTGAGCCTCTTGCCTCAGCCTCCTGAGTACTGATTACAGCATTAATTACCATACCTGGCTTCAAGGAGGTATTTTGATTTGTCAAATATCAGTGTCAAGATAACTTTGGGCTTCCATTGATGTGAATTTTTGGAGAAAGGCTTTCATTATGTAGCCCAGCCTCGCCCTGATACACTCATCCTTCCGCTTCAGGCTCCCAGGTGCTGGGATTACATGCCTAGCTTTAATTTGATTATTTGATGATTGTCTGAAAAGGTAGCTTTATGCCAAATTGGTTGGAAACTTAGACAAAGTGGACAAATTACTATCAATCTATAACTCATCAAATGTGTCTCAAAAAGGAAAAGAAAAACTTGAATAGCTTTATAACCATTAAGAAACAAGTTTTCCTACACAGAAACTGGGCCCAGATGGCTTTGCTATTGAAAGCTCAAGGAACAACTAACTTCAATTTTCCAAAAGTAATTCCACAGTGTAGAAAAAGAGAGAGCATACTCATTTAATAGGGCTGATAAGAACCTTGATATTAAAATCTGACGAGTTGAGAATGAATACAAAACCATCTTGAGAACATAGATACACACATTCTAAGACAAATGATTGTTAAATCCAGTAATCCAATATATTTTTTAAAAGTCTAAGATGAGGGGCTGGAGATATGGCTTAGAAGTTAAAAGCACTGCCTGTTATTCCAGAGGACTGGGGTTCAGTTCCCAGCATCCACATGATCGCTAATATCTCTAACTCCAGTTCCGGGGAATTTCATGCCCTCTTCTGGCCTCTAGGCATTGCACATCCTGGGTGCACTTACATACATGCAGGCAAAATACTCATACACATAAAATAAAAATCATAAAAAGTAAGTAAATAAAAAAGTCCAAGATGACCGAGTTGAGCCAGGTGTGGTGATGTATTGTAACTTTGAGGCCAGCCTGGGGTACAGAATGTGTTAAAGGCCAGCCTGGGTTATATAGCAAAATACTGTCTCAAAAAACTTAAGAAAGACCAAGTTGGATTATCTCCAAAATTCACGTTTTCATATTTCAACTCAATACAACTTCTCTCATTAGCATAGTAAAGGAGAAAACCTACAATCATCTCAATAGATAGAGTCAGATAAAATTCAGTCTCAACGTGATGATTTTTAAAAAATCTTAGCACGACAGGAAAATGAGTTTTTTTTTTAACATAAAGGAATTTAGAAAGCTTTCTGATGAACTGCATACCTAGATTGAAATGCCTAATAGACACTGAGAATCTGACTGGGATGCTGCTTTCTTTTTACTCATCAATGTTCCAGAGGTCCTAGCCAGCACAATAAATCAAGGGAAAGAAAACATGTACAGGCCAGCAAGGTGGCTCAGTGGGTAAAGGTGCTAAGCCTGATGACCTGAGTTTGATCCCTGTCATCCACATGGTAGAAGGAGAGAACCAACTCCCACAAGTTTCCTCTGACCTCTGCACATATGCTTTGACAAATGCCCCCCCAATAAAAACAAAAAATTTACAAAGAAAACATTTTAACATTGGAAATGAACAAAATTATCATTATTTGTAGGGGATACCATTATGTATGCAGAAAATCCAAAGTAATCTATGGAAGAGTTTAGAATTACTAATTTAGAAAGATTTCTGTTTTCAAAAATCTATATTTTTTTCTGTGGGCTGGGGTGTAGCAATTAACAAGCATGAGGCTCTGGGTTCTATCTCAAGCACCACAAAAATATCTGCTTTTATATGCAGACAACAAGGACATTTTTAATAAATCATTTATGAACAACAGAAATTGAGAAAGGGCAAGATCTTTTTGGAAAAATTTTAAAAACACGATAAGAATTTAGAAGACTAAAATAGATTTACATGTTAATTGGAAGAGTCAAAGTCATAAAGCTGTCAGCACCCTCGAAAATGTTTTGTAGCTTCAATGCAAATCCAATCATGATTTGTAAGTGTGTGCAGATTGTGACAAATGAATTCTTAAATTTATATGGAAATGCCAAGACTACCAGGCCACTTATTCTTATTATAAACATACAGCAATGAAGGTGGTGCAGTATTGCTTCAAGAGTAGATATACAAGGGCTGGAGAGACAGCTCAGCAGTTAAGAGCATTGGCTAGGTTTATATTCCAGCATCCACATGGCAGCTAACAACTGTCCCTAACTCCAGTTCCAGGGGAAACGACGCCCTCTTCTGGCTTCCATGGGCATTACATGACATGAGGACACATACATGCAGGCATAACACTCAAACACATAAAATAAAAATAAAAAGTTAAAAATGTAGATATATAGGTGGTCTAAGATACACTCAAGTAGACACAGCATCAGTGACCAATGAAAAGTATTGTAGACCAATTGGGGGAATGGTAAAAATTTCAATAAATGGAATAATTGAGTATACAGTTTGGAAGAAATGAACTTTCCTCCTCACAAGATTATTCAAAGTTGGAAGGAGACAGCCTGTCAGTCACTGATACTAGCATTGGTCACAGAACAAGCCTGAGTTCAAGCTGGCCATTGTCATCCCTCACAAGAACCTATATAGCTACAGTTCTCCCAAAGATTCACCCTACCTACCAGCGTGTAGATTATATAACAGTGGGTAATGCATAGGGTGGGACCTCCCCATGCTCCAGGTGCCTTCCTGCCCTGTTCTCTTGTGAGACACTGGGTCTCTCACACCTTGTCCAGAGGATCTGTATCTTCAATATCCCCTGTCACAGAGGCTGATCAGGGGACAGGGCTGTTACCTTATAGGCCACAAGTCTAGATGTTTTCTGGCACAAATGCCTGTCTCAGGGGGAGAGGAGGGAGGGAGGAAGGGAAGGAGGGAATGATGAGAGAATGGTGTATGTTCCTGCCTGAATTAGTTTCTTGTTGCTGTTGCCAATCCACAGCAGACTTAGTGACTTACACTAATGTATGGTCATGCTCTTCATTTCTGGAAGTCAGAGGACTCACAGATTGGAATGCTGCATTCCTTCAGAAGGTGCTAGGGGGAGACTACATCTCCCTGCCTTTCCAGGTTGTAGAAGTTACCTGTAGTCCTTGGCTCATGTTCCCTTAGTCCTCAGAGCCAGCCATGGTCAGTCAAACAGAGAGCTTATTTTGTGGTTGAAAACATGTCACAGCCAATTGATGGAGTGATTCTGGTGATAATAATACTATCAGCATTTACCCCACACTTACTCTGTACCAGACATTGGCCAACCACTTTCCGCAAATCACCCTTTTCTTATACCAACACCAGCAGTTTGAAGACTACTTTGATCATCAGCTAACAGATGAAGAAACTAAATCCCTGGGACCTTCTAGGTTTTATTCACCCTGAGCACAATCTGTTGTGGGCCTTCCTGATCATCTCCTCCCTCTTCCTCCTTATAACGAGTTTCTGGCTTGTGTGGTGTGCTGGAATCCTAACTCAGGTCCTCTTGGTTGCACAGCAAGTGCTCCTAACAACTGAACAATCTTGCCAACCCCCAAGAATTTAATCTCACAGTCGTCCCTGCTCACTCTGTTCTCAACCCTCAGCCCAGCTGCCACTTGCCCACATCATACAATCTCTCTACTTCCCATTCTGGGTGAGGCTAGGCCCACGACTGACCTTCCTGACATGTTAAAATTAACTTCCTTTTTAAAAAATTTTGGTTATTATTTTGTGTGTATGAGTGCTTTCTCTGCATGCATGTAAGTGCACCTGTGTCATACAATGCTGGTTGAAGTCAGAAGAGGGTGTTGGGTACCCTGGAACTGGAGTTAGGATGGTGGTTAGCTACCAGGTGGGTGCTGAGATTTGATTTCAGGGTCTCTGCAAGAGCAGCCAGTGGTCTTAACTGCTGAGCCATCTCGCCAGCCCCCAACTTTCCTTTCTTTAGGGAAGCCTGATGGAGACCTGTGGCCCCACAGTGGTTGTGATCCCATGGTCATCAGACATGGTTCAATCATGAGCAGTCCACATTACCATGATGCCCACCTTTGCCAGAAGGATGTAACTCATCTCC